CTGTTGCCAAACTACAAGTCCCATAAGGCAATGTAAGATTGACAGTTACAAGCATGACTCCCAAAGGCAGAGGCATGATGGGACTTGTAGTTTCACAACACCTGGAGGGCCGCCAGTTTGACACCCCTGATCTAGGGGAGCTATTAGTAATATAAAAGGCCAATATCTCAGTGTCAGTCCCCACACACCCTGTGCATTTGTAGAGGCCAAATGGCCAATGCTTCAGTGTTGGTCATGTGGCTGAACACAGGAGGGATGAAGAATTTTATTTTACAGTAAAAGCTTTAATATTTTTTAGAAATGAAAATATGACACCATGGAAGTTGATTTTCTTAATTTTTGACTTTAGGTTCAACCTAATATATTGTTTATTCTTTCAACCCCAGTTGGTACAACAGTAGGTACGATGTCAAAGATATGTCTATGATGAAAGATCTCAGAATCTAAAGGCTTCCTCTATGTAATGTGGAAATGTGCTCAGACATTAGCTAATAATACATTCTTTTCAGTCACCTTCTGACCTCCTAGACCTATTTATCCAAAGCTAGGGCAACAATGCTAAAATGTGATTACTGTAACTCATGCGATTAAACCTGACTTTTCTGCACCCATCTATCATGAACAGTGTAATGCTTTTCTTTCTGAATGAGGATATTACCTCATGTTTCTCTATGATATCATGCTAGTTTTGTTTTCTCAAATCAATGGCATCCAGTGACATTTATCCAGGAATATAGCCAATGTTTTAATAGAAAACCTTTCTTTCCCTCCCAATTCCTGCTGGGACTTACTGACCATTTCCATATGACAGCAAACCAGATAATTAAGGTTGTGAAATGAAATCAATGTAGTATATACCGTATATTGGCATTACAGGTATTGCATTCTAGAAACTGATAATAACTTGACTTTCAAGCTGTGATTTGTGACAGCCCGGAATGCAGAAGACCCCCTTCTCTTTTCACCTCCACAGTGTGTTGTGTATCTGACCTCAATACGCAATGGCATTACATAATGGTGTTGGCTTGGACTCCACAACTTACCAGCCATGGATTTTCTTGGAAATGAAAGCTTGAACTTTTAACCAGATTAATGACAGCATTCCCAAATCCTCCATCTTGCTTGAAACTACAGCTTTACTAAATTGTGTATGGCTGCAGAGTTCCTTGATTGACCATTAAAGCAGATTTAAACTCTCTCAATCAACATTAAATATTTTGAATCCTTATACTGCTGGCATTAGTAAATAGATAGGAATGTACAGTATATTATATTTACTTGTTTTAACTATTTCTTTTACATTTCTTCACTTGCTTCCTGGTTTCTGGCTTAGACCAAAAATGATGTCATACATCCCAGGAGTCTTCATGGGAATTTTATTTTCTTTCATCTGGAGGAGGGTTATTTTCAGTTAAGCACGCCCTCCTGTCTGCATGCTTAATCGTAAGGGCAAATAGATTCCAGGAAGTAAATACTACATGAATCATCTGCCCTTACTCACGATGGCCATGGCTAGAAATGCTAGGAGGGTGTTTCTCAACAAAACAAAGCATGGAGACATGAATGGATAGTGAGTTTGCTTTGAATGTTAAAGATGAATTAAATAGCATTTTCACTTGGTGGTGCACAGGTACAGTTAAGTTCCACTTAAATATTTAAAAATTTTTGTAGCAATGAGGATGAATTCTTTTATTGATTTTCTGTGTTTCAACAATAAAGATCTCAGACACTCATGCATGAAAGCATGTAAATTATGTAGTGCCAGTTAAAGTTGGAGGCAAGTGCAATAGAAATACAAAACCCATCGCTCTATGATAATTGAACCTGTAACCGAACAGCCAGAAAAAGAATGGTCTGCACTGCACAATTTCAGCCATAGCTAACACACTGAGGACCTGAGGAAGGGACCTAGCTCCATGCTCTGAAACGTGTTCTCATAGCAACGGCACATCACTGCCTCCCTCTTGCATGTGTCTGTTTTGCTTCCATCTTAGTGGAGTCCAAAATGGCATCCTTCGCCCAGCTCCTGTGATGCCAATTCCGGTTGCTTAGCTCCATCTCTTCACCAAACCACGTCATCTCTGGGTCCCTGGCAGATGCCAGAATTCTTAAACAGCCATCTTTCCTATTGGGGACACTAATGCACAGCGTTTGCCCATACCACAAGGCTGGGAGTTGAGTCATTTAGTCACCGCTACTTGCTAGGCATGGTTATTACAGAACATCAAGAAGATTGTAAGCCAATTCATCTTCAGTAAGCATATGCATTTTGTTTCATAATTAATCTTTTTTTTTACCAAAAATTTGATTTTCAGCGATGTATTTGGATGTACATGAATCTCCAAATGGACATAGTAATGAATGTAAAATAATCTGAAAAAAATAATAAAAAATGATAAAATGCATTAGTTTCATTTCTTTCATTCAGATAATTGTCACATGATCCGATAATAGTTCAGGCCCATAGAGAAATTAATTAAATTTTTGAATTTGTTCAATAATTAAGACTCAAGTAAATTTGTGATTTCAATTGAATTTGTAATTGTCACAGTCAGTCAGTTCAGTTCCACAATCTAATGCAATTCTTAGGTTTGAAAAATTTGCGTCCGCCGAAGTTTGCATTATTTATTCTGTTTTGTCCAAAAATATTCAATCCTTCCGAATAGTTTTGATATATATGAATACTGAATCCAATCGAAATATAAAGCAATCTTATGAAAAAACCTGCTAAATTTGTCAATTCCACCTGGACCAATTTACGAAACAAATGCCAAATATAACGAAATGAATCCCGAAAACTAATCTGTTCAACATAACGAATACAACAACATAAAATTCTTCAATGAACGAACGCATTTGAAATTAAACAAAAATTTCCGGCATGCCCACATCTAATTGTCAGTGTTTATTTGCACACAATTTTAATAAAAATTATGGCTAGCCAGTAATGGCCTTAAAGATGAAAGAATAATGACATAGCCCCCTTCCTCACTTGACCTAAACCTTATTGAGGGCCCTTCCTAAATGGGAGATTTATGGTGAAGAAAAACAGTACACCTCTCTCAACAGTGTCTGGGAGACTGTGGTTGCTGCTGCACAAAAAGTTGATTGCCAACAGATCAAGAAACTGACAAACTCCATGAATGGAAGACTTATGACTGTTATTGAAAAGAAGGGTGGCTATATTGGTCACTCATTTTTTTTGTTAAATGTCAGAAATGTTTATTTGTATACTTTGAATTGTTTGTTTATTATTCTTACTTTAACAGATGAAAATAAACAAGTGAGATGGGAAACTTTTTGTTTTTCATTTAGTTGCATAATAATTTTGCTCACTAATAGTTGCCCAATAATTGTGCACAAATAGATATTCTCCTAAGAAAGCCAAAACCTCACTTGTGCTTTTATATATATATATATATATATATATATATATATATATATATAAATATTCAGGTTTGAGGTTTATTAACATTTTGGATTGACCGAGAGCACTGTAGTTGTTCAATACTGAAATTAATCCTCAGAAATACAACTTGCCTAATAATTGTGCACACAGTGTAATTTGAAAAGTTTGGCTGTCCCATTTTATGGTCCTCTGTTAGCAGGTCATTGTACCAGGAAGGTTTGTATGTTACTCATCTGTCAAAACACCAGATTTCTCGTTTCGTGCATTCTGTTTTTTGTTCATTTTTAATTATGCCTGAAGAGCATAAATATTGGTTTCCCAATTTCAACTTTAGCTATAGTGTTGTGTAGACTTCCACCAATATGTTTTAATTCTGCATTGAGTGTTTAGGCACTTGGTACATGTCAGTGTTATTGATAACTTTTGCTAGACAAATTATGTTTCAACCTAGTACGGGTAAATATTTTCTAATGCTTGTAGGTACCTTAAAATTATTATAGAGGCAGAAGGTTTTTTTACCTTGATGCAATCTCTGCATTAAGGTAAAAAACCTTCTGCAAGCATCTCCCCTAACCCAGACCCCAGAATACTTACCTGAGCCCGATCTCGATCCAGCGATGTGCACAAGAGCAGAGACTTTCTCAGCTCTCTCTCTCTTTGGCTCAGACACAACAGCAGAACCCATTGGCTCCTGCTGCTTTCAATCACAGCCAATGAGGGAGCAGGGCCAAAACGAGCTCTGTGCATTTTATGGACACAGAGAGCCGGCTTGCTATGGGGGGCACTCAACAGGGGGGGAGGGGCCAGGAATGCCAGGGGGGGATCTCAGAAGAGTATCGGGGCTGCTCAGTGAAAAACCATTGTGCAGAGCAGGTCTATTTGTTATTTAAAAAAATTAAAACTGAGCCTTTAAACTCACTTTAAATCAATCACTTCAGAAACTATAGAGCTCATTACATTTTTGTTTATTTATTTTTTTCAGGTACTTATATAGCGACGTCCATTTATGCAGCGCTTTACATATATATTGTACATTCACATCAGTCCCTACCCTCAAGGAGCGTACAACCTAAGGTCCCTAACTCACATTCATACATACACATAATAGGGCCAATTTAGAGTGTGGGAGGAAACCAGAGTACAGGAAACCCACACAGGCACAGGGAGAACATGCAAACTCCAGGCAGGTGGTGCCCTGGCTCGGATTCAAACCAACGACCCGAGTACTGCCAGGCAGAAGTGCTAACCATTTAGCCACTGTGCTGTAGCCTGCTAGTGGAGTAGAATAGTGTGTCTTTCTTGGTCAAAGTAAAAACCATATTCATTCTCTTGTTGTGTTTATTGTATAGAAGCTGAGTATTATGATTTTGGAGAGACTTTTGCTGATGGAAAAGAATGTGTTTCTTGTTATGGAATGAATTCCAGAGCAAAAACAAATGATCAGTTAAAGAGCAGCTACAGCACTCTTTCCAAATCTGAAGGGTACAATACACATAACTAAGTAAAATATGTAGAGTTGTTATACTTTGTATGTGATGAGCATATTCACTTAGATTTTTTTTCCTTGTTTTGTGTTCAGTCCCAGGAAATGGAAAAAACAGCCGATGACTCTAGTGGTGACCTCTCTGAGTTAATCAAGAGAAGGTTGGAAAGTGTGGCCAGTACGGGCAGTTCAGCCAGCTCAGGATTCATAGAAGATAAAAGTTATAGTGATTCTGAGGAGGAGGAAGAAGGTAATTAAAAGATTTTTATACCTGCCATCCTATTGATAAGTTGAACTTCACTTATTTTCACTACAGCAGAGCTAGTTAAACAGGTGAACAATAACTGCACTTCTGCTGTATGCTGGTTTTGAGCAGGAAAGGTATAAAAACATTCACTCTCAGTTCAGTGGGGAGTTTTTCCAGCATCCCCATTGGTCAATCAGATTTGGGAAATATTGAAAATGTGCATTTATTCACACTGTATTAGCATATGATAAGCCCAACTGGACTGGGAATGCAAACCAACCCATATATACTGTATGCACACAAACTAATCAGAGTAACATTATTTATAAGTTGATGCAAAGGATTGATTCATTATATTGTTGAGTGCAGTAGTACAAACAACTTCTGCACTTTCTTATTGTGTTACAGTGCTTGATGGGGTCAGTATAGAGGGTGGGGATATGGAGGTAGAACAGCCAGAGATAAGTAGCTGGGTTACAGTTAAAAGGAGAAGAAGAGCCTTAGAGAGACTAGTCCTGAGTTGATACCCAATAAATATACCACATTGCATGTTGTTGGGGATATCAGTTCAGGGGGTGGTGTGCTCTAGCAAACTTCCTCCCTTAGCTGCCAAGGGAATGACTGCTCTGGTGAGGATGGGGGCAGGGGTACAGGCAAGGTTAGGCAGATACTGGTGGTAGGGGATCCAATTATTAGAAGGACAGACAGGGCAATCTGTCACAAAGACCGTGATCACAGAATGGTATGTTGTTTACCAGGTGCTCTGGTTCGGATGGGACAGATTGTTGGGTGGGGCTGGGGAGGGCTCAGCTGTCATGGTGCATATTGGTACCATTAGTTAGAGGAAGATGGAGCATCCTAAAAAATGACATCAGGGACTTAGGAGCTATATTGAAGAAAAGGATCTCCAGGGTGGTATTCTCAGAAATACTGCCTGTATCTCAAGCCACACCTGAGAAGCAAAAGGAACTTAGGGAACTCAACAAGTGGCTGAGGAGCTGGTGCAAGAAGGAGGGTTTTGGGTTTCTGGAGAACTGGGCTTACTTTTCAGTCAGTTACCGGCTCTATAGTGGGACAGACTGCAGCTCTGTTGGGGGAGAGAATGGCCAATAAGCTAGAGGAACATTTAAACTAGGTGATGGGGGAGAGGGACCACAGGAGACTTTTCCAGCTAGCGAACAAAGGGCACAAAGTAATATGGTGGTCAATGTAACTGGAATATCTAAGCTCAAACACCGGTGGGCTAGCAGAATCCTACTGCAGCCTCGAAACGAACAGGGATAAAATAACATGTGGCCATACAAAAAAAAAAAGGCATTTTTACAAATACTAGAAGCTTGGTGAACAAAATACAACTAGAACTATTGATAACTGAGGAGGATTTTGACTTCATGGAAGTAACAAAGACCTGGTTTGACAGTACACATGTCTGGCTTATGACTGTCCAGGGGTACTTCCTGTATTGAAGGGACAGGTTAGGTAGAAGAGGGGGAGGGATGTGCTTGTATCTCAAGAGTAATTTGCTGGTGAACGCAAGGGATGACATTACTAACAGGGCAATGGAAGGGGTGGAATCCTTGTGGCTGGAACTTCAAAAGAAAGAAACAAATGGAAAATAATAGTGGGGATATGCTAAAGGATTGGATTTATGAAAGATTGTTCTTGCCAGACCAACCTATTAAAATTCTATGAGGAAGTGAGCTGTAATCTGGATGAAGGAAGGCCTGTGGATGTACTGATTCTTGACTTTGCCAAAGCAGTTGACAAAGTATTCCATAAATTCTTAATCCACAAATTGAGTTATGTTGCCATTGATGATAGTTTTGTGTACCTGGATAGAAAATTGGTTACAGCGGTGTGTCCAGTGGGTGGTGATAAATAACATATCTTCTGAATGGTCTGGAGTTAAAAGGGGAGTTTCCAAGGGGTCCATCATGGGACCAGTCCTGTTTAACTTGTTCATAAGTGATATAGAGGTTGGGATAAATACAGTAGTTCAATCTCAGTGTTTGCTGATGTTACAAAGACAAGTAAGACAATAACTTCACAATAGGATAGAGCAACTTTACAGGAAGACCTTGGTATAATAGAGGAGTGGGCAAACATATGGCAAATGAGGTTCAATTTAGGAAAATGTAAGGTAAAGCATTTGGAGGATAAAAATATGAATGCAAGCTACATGCTATGGGGAGAACCTCTTGGGGAATCAAGGATGGAAAAAGATCTGAGGGTCCTAGCTGATGATAGATTCAGTAATAGCATGCAATGCCAAGCTGCAGCAAGCAAGGCCAGCAGAATATAAGCATGCATGTAAAAAAGGGTATTTACTCAAGAGATAAAACTATATATCTACCACTTTACAAAACGTTGGTTCAACCTCATCTTGAGTATTCCGTTCAGTTCTGGTCACCAGTCCTCAGTAGGGATGTGCTGGAACTAAAGAGAGTCCAGAGAAGGGCAACAAAACAAATAAGAGGGCTGGAGGATCTCAGCTATAGGAACAATAACAAACATTAAGAGTATTCTCCCTGGAGAAGAAATGCTAAAGAGGGGATATGATAGCGATATACACATACAGTGCTCAGCATAAGTACACCCCAACAGATTTGTCAAAAAACCTTACTTTCCTCTCAACATTTCTATGGGACACTATACTACAAAATACTCCCACAAATGTTGGTTATTGATTGCAAACAAGATTTGTTAATTTGCACACACAAAAAAAGTATTTTTCCTCACAAATTTATTCAAGACCGTGTTGCAAAAATTAATACATCCCAATGAAATTCGTAGGAGCAAAGCTAAATTTTACACAACAAAGTCCTAATTAACAAGAATTAAACTACAGGTGAGTCTAATTATTTATGAAACAGGTGTCCAGCAGACAGTTGAAAATAAAAGGGCATTACTTAACAAAGAAAACCCCTTCCCATGTCATGCTGCCCTGGCACCACATGGAAGACAAATGTCACAAGGCCTGAGAAAGAAAATCATTTCTTTACACAAGAAAGGTGAAGGCTACAAGAACATCAGCAAAGCTTTATTTGTCAGTCAGAATACTGTAGCAAAAGTGATACAAAAATTCAACAAGGATGGAACTGAAACCATCTCACAGAAATGTCTAGGCCGTCCACAGACGTTTAACACCTTGACAGGAGCGTCTTCTGATGAGAAGGGTTGAAGAAAATCGCCATGCAAGTTCACTGCAGGTAGCTAAAGTAGAAAGCCAAACTGAGGTGATTGTTTCCCATGACACAATATGGCGTACACTGCAAAGGAATGGCATGCATGGGTGTTGTCCACGAAGGAAGCTTCTCCTAAGGCCCATGCAAAAAAAAGCCCACCTAGAATTTGCCAGGGCTCATGCTGAAAAAGAACAAAGACTACTGGGACTCTGTACTCTGGAATGAGGAGACCAAGATACATTTTTTTGGAACTGATGGCTTCAAAACTGTATGAAGCCATCGCAAAGGTGAGGAGTACAAAGAAAAATGCATGGTGCCTACATTAAGCATGGTGGTGGCAGTGTCCTTCTGTCGGTCTGTATAAGTGCTGCTGGTGTCAGGGAGATGCATTTCATTGATGGTATCATGAATTCACAGATGTACTGGTCTATATCGAAACAGAAGATGCTACCATCACTCCGTGCCCTTGATCATCGTGAGCTTTTCCAATATGACAATGATCCAAAACACACATCTAAAGTCACTGTTGCATTTCTGAAGAACAACAGGGTGAAAGTGATTTAGTTGTAAAGTATGTCTCCTGATCTGAACCCACTCAAACAACTATGCGGAATTCTGAAGAGACAAGTTGAGCATCACTCTCCATCCAGCATCCAGGCTCTAAAAGAGGTCGTGCTTGAAGAATGGAAAAGGATAGATGTTGCAATATGTCACCAACTTCTTCATTCCATGCCTAGAAGACTTGCTGTTGTCCTTACAAATCATGGAGGTCATTCAAAATACTAGATGTAGTAGCTTTTGTTGTGCGATGTATTCATTTTTGCATCAACTAATTTGAGTAAAACTGAAGATTTTGTAAGTTATATTATTAACCTTACTTTCATATAATGAGCTAAACAAATGTTCTATAAAACTCAGTTTTGTCAAAACTTTGGAAATTGTTCTTGTCTTCATTAAGATATTGATTAAAATCTTACTTTTTAAAAGGGGTACTCATTTATGCTGAGCACTGTATCTTAATGGTGATTCCAGCATTGGGAGGAAACTATTCAGACTCAGGTCACTCAAGATGAAAAATGGCCACTCAATTAAGTTGGACCGGAAGTGGTTTAACTTTAATAAGGCGTTTTTTACTGTTAGTGTGGTATGTATGTGGAACTTCCACAATGGGTCATTTTAGCGGGGACTGTCACTGATTTAAAAAAAACTCTTAGATGGCCATCTTATTTAACATAATATACAGAGATATGGGAAGTTGTAGAGGCATAAATACACATACACGCACACATGTTGAACTGGATGGACTAGTGTCTTTATTCAACCTTACCAACTATGTAACAATGTGTTAAAAATGGACTGGTGTAAGCTAAGCAGAACAAAAATGCTGCTAAAGGCAGCTGTTTTGTTAACATTTGCCAGGTTGTTGTGACATGTATAAAGGAATGAGCGTGGTATACACCCCCATGATTAGTTGCTCTTTATTATCTGATGATATAAATGATTGATAAATATTTATTTTTTTATTTATTAAATTATGCAACGCTGTCAGTTCCTTGTGGAAAAAGCTGTCGTGTCTGAGAGCCTTTGCATTAATAATTTTGTGGTCATGTGGGCAGATCAGCTTTCTTTATTTCAAAAACATAAATTTAGTAAAAGCTAAACACAATCTGCATTTGCTTTTGAATACTTTAATAGGATAGCCGTGGGACCCATAAATGAAAGCCATTGTTCAGTTTGGCTTGGCAAAGTTATACTTACAAATGCGGGTTGGTATACTTTATATGCCAGGGATTTTATTAGTTCAAATTGGATGCTAAATTATACACCCTGCATAAGTGTCTGATCACACTATGTGGTAGGAGAGGTTCTAGAGCTGTCTAAACTACGTTGCAATAGGTAAAGCTTCTGGCTGTCTGTTTTAAATTATGTATGGTAAAACCATGTACCTACAAAAAGCTTTTTATAACTAAAGGCCATGAACATCCAATGTCCATGGCTTCAAAAATGCCCATATTAAATTAGGCTGTTTGTCCCTTTAGTTTCTCAGTGTTGTGCAGTCTAATACAATGTGATTGCTACATCTGACAGTGATCATGTGACGGATAATAGAAGTGATCATATAAGAGCGATATACAAGTACCAGTGTGGGCCTAATGCAGCTGCACATTGCATTGTGTCTGTACATTATTCTAAAGAATATCGATTGGTTTCTCAGGTCACTGACCTTCTTGCACATGGGTTACATATACTGTAGGTTCACATGTGATTATTGGTATAGCAGGCCTATGATACAAATATGAGAACACACTTTCTAAATACAGTTGTGTTCAAAATAATAGCAGTGTGTTGAAAAAAGTGAATAAAGCTCAAAATCCTTCTAATAGCTTTTATTTCCATACACACAAATGCATTGGGAACACTACACATTCTATTCCAAATCAAAACATGAAGAAAAATATATCAAATTTGTGTTGTTCCTCTAAAAAAAATTGAAGAAAAGTGAATATTAGACTGTTCAAAAAAATAGCAGTGTTTGTATTCTTCTTTACAAACTCAAACATTCACTATGTAAACTGAAAAATGTTTGAAGATTTTGCTTTCCTTTGAATCACTTAATTAATATTTAGTTGTATAAGCACTGTTTCTGAGAAGTGCTGTACATCTGTGTTGCATGGAGTCAACCAACTTCTGGCAGCTGTGAACAGGTATTCCAGCCCAGGATGATTGGACTACATTCCACAGTTCTTCTCTATTTCTTGGTTTTGCCTAAGAAACTGCATTTTTGATGTCACCCCACAAGTTTTCTATTGGATTAAGATCCGGGGATTGGGCTGGCCACTCCCTAACATCAATCTTGTTGGTCTGGAGCCAAGATGTTGCACGTTTACTAGTGTGTTTGGGGTCGTTGTCTTGTTGGAACACCCATTTCAAGGGCATTTCCTCTTCAGCATAATGCAGCATGACCTCTTCAAGTATTCTGATGTATTCAAACTGATCCATGATCCCTGGTATCCGATAAATAGGCCCAACGCCGTAGTATGAGAAATATCCCCATATCATGATGCTTGCGCAACCATGCTTGACTGTCTTCACAGTGTACTGTGGCTTGAATTCAGTGTTTGGGGGTCGTCTGACAAACTGTCTCCGGCCACTAGACCAAAAAGAACAATCTTACTTTCATCAGTCCACAAAATGTTGTGCCATTTCTCTTTAGGCCAGTCAATGTGCTCTTTGGCAAATTGTAACCTCTTCAGCACGTCTTTTTTTCAACAGTGGGACTTTGCGGGGGCTTCTTGCAGATAGCTTGGCTTTACATAGGTGTCTTCTAATTGTAACAGTACTCACAGGTAACTTTACACCTTCTTTGATCTTCCTGGAGCTGATTGTTGGCTGAGTCCTTGCCATTTTGGCTATTCTTCTATCCATTCGAATGGTAGTTTTTCGCTTTTTTCCACGTCTTTCAGGTTTTGGTTGCCATTTTAAAGCATTTGCGATCATTTTAGCTGAGCAGCCTATCATTTTCTGCACTTCTTTATATGTTTTCCCCTCTCCAATCAACTTTTTAATCAAGGTACGCTGTTCTTCTGAACAATGTCTGGAACGACCCATTTTCCTCAGAATTTCAGAGAGAAATGCACTGTAACCAGCATGTACAACATTTGCTGCCTTCCTTCCTTAAATAAGGGCAATATTTGCCACCTGTTGTTCAAAGGATGAATGACCTCACTAATAGAACTCCACACTGCTATTAATTTGAACATGTCTCTTTCAATTAATGATTCAATTACACAGAATCAGCAGCATGCATGTCATGACTGTTGGGTCTGTTGGATTTCTATTACTCTATTACACCTGCTAGTAAATTATTTGCCATGTAGAAATATCATTTCTACCAAAAACAGTGATTGATCAGGTTAGTGATGTCTGACTGCTATTATTTTGAACACAACTGTAAATGTGATTTTATTCCATAGATGTGGAAGAAATATGTTAAACATGATATTAACTATAATGAAAAAATTAACTATAATAAAAAAAATACCACCTTCTCCTGTTTTGCCCTCAGCATTGAAACATTTATATTTCTTTTACATTCTTTAAACTTGATTTGTTAAAAGTTCGCACAGCTAGTCTAAGTACAGTTTGTGTTTGTAATCTACTGTGTTTAATCTGCTACAAATAATTTCACTATACTTTCCCGTAGTTTTACAAAGTCACTACATCTAATGAGATCTTTCAGTACAGGTTTCCAAGCGGCTATGACTTTCTGAACCGAATGTCAGTTTGTACGGTGTGAAAACCTCAAAGCATATACAACCTTACAAAATTTTAGCTTGGCAGACAGAGTCACGAATAGATTACATGCTGTGCCAAAGACCACACTAGGATTAATTAACAGTCCCATGACCACCCAAGTCTGTCATGTAGAGAAAACTGTAAAGGTTCTGTCTGAACGGTAGTAAAATCTGTCTCGGCTTAACATCTTCAGCATGTCACCCTTAAAGATAAACTGCACAAAATTCTTCTTTTGCTGTCATGTTAAAGACACAGAAAGTAGCTGCTACTATAATCTACCAGTTTGTTACATGGACACTTGCAGTGTTCTGTTATCTTCTTATGATATCATTTACTGCAGATCATTGCTTTCTCATTGATTTTATTGAAAAGAATCATGAAACAAATATAACCTGTTCATTGCACTTTAATTTTAACTTTAACTTTAGTGATACTAAACCCACAACAGTAAAATCAGTCTGTATATGCAGTAAAGCATGCTTGTTATACTCACTGTGGAACCTAAAAGGTTAATCCTCTACATTGTGTAAAAAGGATGATTTATCCTGTCTTCTCTGATCCTCCCCTTCTTCCACTGTGCCCAATCCATCTGCTGATAGAACAGAGCCTTGGGGGCAAGCTGCACATGCTCAGGTTTGTGTGTATTGCTACAGTTTTTTTTTCTTGGAAGAGTGCATGTGATCAGCATTGGGTCAATCAGCACTGTCCAGACAGAGGGTCAGGGGTACTGCAACCTCATAGGACAATCAGCGGAGACTGAAAGCTCCTCCTACAAGCTTTAACCAGTGCTCTGCCGGACACTGATAGAAGTCACAAAACTGCTCTAATTGCTGATGAGAAAAGGTATTTAGCAGTTTATATTTACTAAAATAATTGTATTTCCATGTTCTATGTACTGTGGGAGCCCAGATATAGTAAATGCAAGTCATGGGTTTAGTAACACTTTAATTGACATGTTATGCCACTTTTTGGCTGCATATATTGTCAGGTTGCAGTGTTGTATAGAGTAGAACAGGATTAAAACTGTGTTTTTGAACTATGAACAAAGATCTTAACTCTGTAATTTCATGTCATGCAAATGTCAGGGCACTTGTACCCTGTTCTGTAAAGTTTAGAAGTCTGGTCTGGCCTTTTCATGTTCCTAAAAGTTATAACACTATGCTTTATCACAGAGGATCATGCTTCCCTCACACGGGAGCCAAGCCATTCCCACAGAACATTTTATCCTACTTAAAAAGTCTATACTAATTGCAGGAAATATTTAAAGCTGTATCAAAGAAAGATCAAGCAGTTAGCTGGAAATTGCCATTTAAAAGGTGTTAGAAAAGATGGCTTATCTGCTATGTGCGTTGAGAGTATTGCTAACTTCAGAAAAATGTGTTATTTTTCAGACCCTGAAGAAATGACCAAGAAGCAGCTAACAATGGAGGATCTGATTTGTTACAGTTTTCAGGTGGCAAAGGGCATGGAGTTCCTGGCATCAAGAAAAGTAAGGATTCCAGGGCTGCACAAACACACCATATAACATTTATTTTCAGGCCAGTTTTAAAGCTGATGTGTTTTAGCTCACCATGGAGGCAATCTCTCATTTTTCCTTATTCTTGGACATATGATTTAGTAAATGGAAAACCTAACCATAAACAGAGCACTTCCTTTTCATTTTCTAACCTCATGTTGTCTTCATCCTATTTCATATTGCCTACATTAAGTCCAGATAGTCCTTGTTTATGTAACATTTTTAAAATGCCACATTTTTAAAAATTTTTCCAGGAGTTATTAAAAAAAATAAATGAAAATGTAAAATAATTAAATGTGTATTGGTGTCTTTGGACATAAAAAAAATGGCTATTGGAAACAAACATTTAAGATATAAAATGACAGTTCAACTAAAATAATATTGCTGTTTTAGGTAGACCCTAGAGAATTAAATTGGTTAAATTGTTTCTTTGGGATTCCAGAGGTGACATCTATGCTCTTGAATTCACAGGCCTGTACACCTGATGTGGGGGACCCATCCTTCCTCAAAAATGTTTAATTTCTACAACAGCCAAACGAAAACACATACAGTACACATAAACTTTCAGTTTGAGTAGTAACAGGATTAAGGAACTATGGCAGAGAGATCTCCCCACTGGACACCTAGCGATAGAGATATATTAAAAAGGCCGGTGACTCAGCCCAGCAGTTTCTATTTGGAACTGAAATATCACTTTTGGGTAGACTAACCATATAAAGATAGAAACACAGAAAAGTTATGGCAGAAAATGAGAATAGAGAGGGAGCGGGGACGAGCCACGGCTCCATGTGTGAATAGACAGACAGAGCAGTGGGTGCCCCCATAGCAAGCCGCTTGCTGTGGGGGCACCCAACAGGAGAGAGGGGCCAGGAGAGCCTGCAGGGAATCCAAGAAGAGGAGGATCCGAGCTGTTCTGTGCAAAACCACTGCACACAGCAGGTAAGTATAACAGGCCTTTAGAATCACTTTAAACCCATTGAATCCCTCAAGGTCACCCAGTACTGGCACATCCTGATCCTATGTTACCCTTCATTCTTGAAGTTGATGCGTCTGAGACTGGAGTAGGCATTCTCCTGTCTCAATGTCCTACCCCTGTGGGCCCTATGCATCCTTGTCTCCAGCAGAATGTAATTATGAATTGCGGACTGAGAATCATTAGCTATCATTTTAGCCCTTAAAGAATGGAGGCATCTTCTCCAGGGTACCACTGTGCTGGTCCTCACTTTGACTGACCATGAGAATCTCACATTCTTGTCTGAGGCTAAATGCTTATCTCCTAGAAGGGCTTGGTGGGCCCTTTTTCTGTCATGCTTCAAATACATAGTCTCATTCTTACCCGGTATGAACAATATAAGGGCAGATGCATTATCACGGCAGTTTTCCTCCTCTTCCAAAATGGAGTCTGTTCCTACTTCTGTGATACCTCCGGGCCACATTTTGGCCAGTATTTGCGCCAGTCTCAATTCACCTTTGAGTGAGAGAAATCTGGCTTCTTAGATCCATTCTCCTCCTGGAAAACTTCATGACAGCTGCATTGTCCCCAAGACCTATCATTCTCACAAAGTACCTGGGCACCCAGAAAAAATCAACTCATGTGGTCTATGTCTCAACAATTCTGGTGGCCTAGTCTCCTCACTAATGTAACCACCTTTGTAGCTGCTTGTCCCATGCGTGCTCAGAATAAAACACCCCAACACCTTCCAGTGGGCCTTCTACAACCCATACCCAGTGGAGAGAGGCATTGGACCCACTTGTCTATTGATTTTTTTTGTGGATTTACCTAACTTCCAGGCAATACAGTCACTCTTATGGTGGTTGACCGGTTTTCAAAACTGTCACATTGCATTCTGCTAAAGAATTTGCCTACGTCCAAAGACCTGGCATCAATATTTGCTCAGGAGGTCTTTTGGTTATATGAGTTACCTAAAGTTATCATCTCTGACAGGGATGGCCAGTTTGTGTCCAGATTTTGGTGAGCCCTTTGTGCACAGTTAGGAATTCAGGTTTCCTTCTCCTCGGCACATCACCTGCAGTCCGATGGGGCTGTAGAACGGGCCAACCAAGCCTTGGAACAATTCCTACATTGCTATATTGCAGACCACCATAACAACTGATTGGACCTGTTACCTTGGGCAGTTTTCTCACAATAACACCATCAATGCCACTTCCAGATTATCGCCTTTTATGGCGAACTATGGGTTCCAGCCATCTATGTTGTCTGATACATTTGTTCTGCAGGGAATTCCTGCATTAGAGGAACATCTTCAGGAACTCCGTCCTACTTGGGTGCAGATCCAAGAATCCTTGCAACACTCCAGACAGAGATACAATCTCCATGCTGACTGCCGACACCTACCTGCACCCTCCTTTGTATGAGATACAATCTATCATTGACTGTAGATTTTGTGGACACATAAAATATTTACTTCTCTGGAGGGATTTTGGTCCAGAGGAACGCTCTTGGATCTCATCCTTGGACATGCATTCTCCTGCCTTCCTCCGTACTTTCCATGTATGTTTTCCTCTCAATCCTGATGCCCCCCTGAGGGGGAGGGGTCATTTAGGATGGGATACTGTCAGGGCTGGGCTCCTGCTACTTAACAAGCAGCTCTTTTCTTTTAGTGCTCAGAAGCTGCTCAGCTGTCAGTTAATTACCAGCCATTCAATGTCTCCACAATGACTCAGCTAGATACCAGTACCTGCCTTAGTCCAGCCTACATCAATCCCTTTTTGCTACTTTAGCAGCTTAGCTCATTTACTCCTTGGCCTCTATGATCTCCAGTGTGTTCCTGCCTGTGTTCCCGTGTACAACACGGTCTGGCTGACTTCTCTTCTGATTCCTGTTCCTGATATTTGCTCCTGACTACACTGACTTCTGGTTTCCTTACCCTGGCTCATCTGATTACCCACTCTGGCATCCAAACCCTAGCTTCTGTTTTGACTACATTCCTGAATTGTGTTATTTTTGCTATTTCATTAAAGGTGTGATTTTAACGGCACTTTCTGTCTCCGCCTGGTTAAAAGTTCCTGATACTACCTTTGCTGGAAGTCTATTCGAAGCATCAGCTACCCTTTCAGTAAAATAATACTTTCTAAGATTAGTTTTGAACTTTCCTCCAGTTAGTTTGAGGTCATATCCCTGTGTTCTTGATCTTGGTTTCATATTGAAAATACTGCCCTCTTGAACCTTATTCACCCCTTTGATGTATTTAAAGGTTTCAGTCATATCTCCCCTTTCCCTTTTTTCCTCCAGACTGTACATATTAAGGTCATGAAAACTCTCTTGATATGTTTTATCCCTCAGACCTTTCACCATTTTTGTTACCCGTTTCTGAGCTCGTTCTATCTTATCAATAACTTTTGGTAAGTGAGGTCTCCAGAACTGGACACAGTATTCAAAATGAAGTCTCACTAAAAATCTAAATAGGGAATTCAGGACCTCCTTCCTCCTACTGGTGACCCCTCTAGTAACGCATCCTAGAATTATATTTGCTTTTCCCACTTCCTGGTCACACTATTTGTTCATTTTGCAATCATCTGCAATAAGTACCCCCAAATTTTCTTCCTCTGTAGTGCTGTACCCCCAATGTTGTATTCTGTCAAGGGATTCTTTTTCCCTAGGTGCATTATTTCACATTTAAAAACATTGAACTGCTTTGACCAATCTTACAGCAAGGCCAAATCATTTTCCATGTTACAGACAACTCCAAGGATACAAACCTTATTGCACACCTTTGTATCATCAGCAAAAAAGACATACCTTACCCAACAACCCTTTAGTTATATCACTTACATACAGTTTAAATAGAACAGGACCTAGTACAGAGCCTTGTGATACACCACTAGTGACAGGTCTCTGTTCTGTGTGATCCCCATTTACAACCACACTCTGGTATCTATCCTTAATCCAATTGCATATCCAGTGAACCACCCTAGGGTTAAGTCCTAGTTTGTACAACTTTTGCATTGGATCATTATGTGGAACTGTATCAAATGCCTTGCTGAAATTAAGATATGCTATGTCCACAGCACCACCCTGGTCCAAAACATTGGTAATATAGTCATAAAATTCAATCAGATTAGTCTGACATAGTCTGACATGATCTGACCTCAGTAAAGCCATGATGCTTTAGGTCCAGCAAGCTGTGCATTTTTAAGTGATCAATGATCCTTCTTTTCAGGAATGATTCCATTAATTTGACTACAACCAATGTTAAACTCACTAGCCTGTAATTGCCATCTTCTACCTTGCTGCCCCTCTCTACCTTGCTGCCCTTATAAAGATGTATTTATGTATATAATTCTGTGAAAACTATTTTAAATGTTAACCCAGAATGATTACACACGAACCAATGTGGCAAACACAGGGTATAGTGGTTGTACTTATTTCTAAATCAGAAAGTGAAGGTTAATTGAACATACAAATATGCTGCCCAATACAAAGATCATAAAAAATTCCAGTGTGTACAGCCAACCGCTTATTCAAAAAACAGTGCGCAGTGCAGTGGAAAATAACATACAAACACTGATTCAGTGTATAGAAAGCATTAGTACCAGAAGAGGAGACATAACTTCCCAGCTCATACCATACCTCACCTCAACCCTACCACCCATGGAGGTAGAGACTAGGCATAGTTAGCAGGGTAAATTATAACAATTTGTGCAGTTCGCGTGTAAGACCCAGGGTGACCAACCAGGCCTCCCATAGCTTCTCAATTCTGGGCATCCACGGTGAAGATAAATCAATCTATCATACCTTAAAGTAAGTCCCATATTACCTATCTAATCCCCCTGGGTTGGCAGAATTTCCAGTTTTCAATACTGGAGAATCAATTTGTGGGCCTGAAACAATCCTTTAGAGATTATCTCTATCTGAAGCAATCATCAAGTATGCCCAATATAAATTGTTTCAAGTCTAGCTGTATGTTTGAAAAAACAGAATTGAGACTATCTACCACTGATTCTCAGTACCGATGCAACTTGGAACAACACTACAACATGTGAATGAGGTCTCCATGGTCTCTCTTACCTTTGCTACATTTAGCGTCCTTTCTTAGCCCCATGACATGCATTTCAACCGGGATGTAATGAACTCTTAAAAGAATGTAGAGTTGTGAGAGCCGGTGCAATATATTTAGGGAACAGGTTACAGCATGGCTTCCCATTGCTCCTCCTGGTACTTATTTTTACTATTATTAAAGTTTATATTTTGCTTTGGAATGTGGCGTTAAGCTCTGGCCCATTAAAGAACAGAGCAGTCAGTGCATTCACTCTGTATTCTGGACCTAGAAACTCTGACTTCACTGTTTTTTTGTAAGCTCCACTCCATGCTAAACACTTCAAAATGAACCCTATGGATCTGGATACTGTAATCCTTATAGAATTAGGTTTGCATTTCCTTTCTTAGCAGTCCCTAGATGTTTAAAGATGCAGAAGTAAAGACACCTCACTTGAACTTTTCCTTTACTTCCAACATAAAATCTATTTTGAGGGTGAGTGACTGTGGTGCCACAAAAAGATTCTCATGGCATTCAATCGGAGTGCAGGAAAACACATTACATTCCCACCTCTACTAGGAAAGATTCTACACTGTGCCAGAAGGACTTGATGTTAGTACAAACAGCACTTTGACCATTTTCCCACAATATTTAATATATTTGCTTTTGGATAAGAGACATGCTTAGTGGAGTCTGTGCCAACACACTGTACCTCTTTCATCATGGTACTTTCTGCAAATGGTACATTTTTCAATATAGGTTGTCTGTCAGCATAGTGACTATGAGACTATTTAAGGAGTTGAGGATCTTCACACAATAAATTGTGTGAAAATTCACTTCAGTTATCCAATCATGTGAAAAGAAAATTACTTTTGTCACTGTATTTTTTAATTGGATAGTTGTATGAAGATTCTCAACTTATCACCTCCGATAACCTCACACTTTTCTGGCAGGACCTGGCATCTCAGATAAAACATCACAATCTGATAATATGCCACTGCGCTCACTGTTGTGCCACAGCTATGCAATGCACTAAACACTTATTAATCATAAACCCTTCATTGTATGACTATAAATATATTACAATGAGCCACTGTACAGCATGAAATGTTGGTATATGCATACAATATACTGAACCAGAATATGCATTGCCTTGAAAGTTTATAGACCATCTGCCATATACTGCTTTGCTTTGTGTGCATATTTTTTAGTAACTCACAGTCCACCCAGCATTTTTATACACACTGAGTTGCAGTACAGTGTACTGTATATGCCTAAACACAATACAATCAACCACTCACAGCATGTATAACGTATTGAACCACTATATACTGTACAGCTATATATAAGCTACTCTAAACCATTGCTTACAATACACTGTACACTTATAGATATGAAAAAACAATTGGTATCTAATGCACTGTACTCTAATAATTCAACAGTAAACCATTGTATACCATTTCTTACCCTATCCCCTTTTAACTACCCTTAACAAGAGTGGCATACTGTCTGTGCTCCAGTACTTGCGCTCAAAGGAGACCAATTAGTAGGTTATAAAGCAAGACTCAGGGACAGGTGGTCATAATTAAAGAAGGCTCTACCATCTGCTAATACAGAACCCAATAAAGTGCAAAACATTTGTGGCATGGATTTGAAGTAACAGGCAATGGCAACCACACATGAAGGGATACCAGTGAAGGCACAGCTCAGAGAATGCGGTAGTGAATGACATTATGGAAACAAAGGCGGGAAGCTCAAACTGCTTTGCTCATAGGAGTCTTCTGCACTCTCTTTCTGTGACTGACACGTAAGTCCCCACTAGCATGTACCGAAAAAGAAAACAAGCTGTATTTAATTTCATTTTCTGTTGGCCTATGACTTCAATCAGTCGTCTGTTCTCCCTTTGAGGACCACTGATCATTGTAGGGCATAGTATGACAACTGACAGTACTGTCCACTGTGTGAAGTTTAATCCTTTCCTGAGGACCCTTTTTAAACCATTCTACTTTGGTACTTCTTGGAGGTTAGCCTGGTGGGGACTTAGGGTGTGACTAAAATGGGAAGGGAAAGATGGGGTTCTGCAGAGAGATATAACAGTTGTTGTATTACCAGACATTATACTATACTACACTACTACACATAGCAATGACTCAGGACAGTGAAGGTAGGAATTCTACCTTCCGTTTGAGTAAATCCCTTGATAATATGTAAATAAATGAAGGACTATACTTTGAAGGCTTGGAATGCATGTCTATTGTTCATATTAATCCTGTAGTTATGAGCCATGTCTTTTCTTGCTTTGTCTTAAAGTGTATTCATCGAGATTTGGCAGCAAGGAACATCCTCCTGTCTGAAAATAATGTAGTAAAAATCTGTGACTTTGGCCTGGCCCGTGACATATACAAAGATCCAGACTACGTGCGTAAAGGAGATGTGAGTATTACACTGTAGGAAATGGCCTGCTCTGCATACAGAGATAAATCTTAGGAAGATAATCTATAGTAGATGGGTCAGTTTAAAATGCAATTCAATTTTCTTGTGACTCTGTTTCTGCTTCCCTCATATTTTACCCAAGTGGTTCATAACTAAACTATCCCTAAAATCTAAAATTTGACCAGATCTGCACTTTTCTTTCCCTCCAGTCTAGATACACAGTGACCTTGATTTACTAAAGGAGTGGAGAATGTTCATTTTCAAAGTGAATTTTCATTTTGCAAAGTGAAATTTTACTTATTGAATGAGATTAAACAAAGTTTTACTTTGCAAAGAATACCTAATTATGTGCATTGAAGTCAGTACAGTGGGCTCCATTCACAAAAGGACCTCGCATGCAGTATTCAGGTGTCCGGACACATTTTCCCTAAATATTGCATGCAATCCTGAAACTGTCAATCCACTATACTGTTTTGCTGTATTTACCCCAAAACACTCAAAACACTTGGTACATACCGCTCGAGAAGGCGTTAAAGTGGAGGTCCAGTCAAAATAAAAAAATGAAAGTCAGCAGGTAAAAAAACTGTGGATGCTGACTTTTAAAAAACAGACACTCACCTGTCCCTCAATCCCATGGTGTCCTCACCACCGCTGGTTTCACCGGCCGTCTTCTCTCCCTGGTGCCGGCATCTTCAGTGTACACATGCACAAGTAGCGCTGCACTTTGTGAATAGTCCCGTAGTCTTCTGAGACCTGTCATGTGTCCCAGAAGACTACAGAGAGGAAGGGGAGAGGACAAGTTCCGCTTCTGATTGCCTAGGTGATCGCAGCAGAAGTGGGAGAGGGTACCTGTCAAATTCGGGTACCCCCTACTCCCCAAAGGTGCCAATCCTTAACGGGAAGCAGAGGACAAAGCCTTAAAGTGAAACTTCCATTTTTGGGTGGAGCTGCACTTTAAGCTCAATTCACAAACGGAAATAAATAATTAAATGCATGCGGTAATTAAGTAGTAGTCAAGGCATGCAGTATTTTAGAAATGTAAAAATATAATAGGAAATGTTGAGTAGTTTGTGCCTTTTTGGGTCAGTTCTCCCAACAGGAATGCATTGAAACTTAAATGTGGAAAACACTGGGGCTGATTTACTAAAGGAAAAACTTTTTTCAGGCTTTAATTGTTGTCTGTGCCCCAAATTTGATTCACACTCTCTATTTGTCCTGTTTACCATTATCATTGAAAATGAAAGTTTAAGAAAATCACAAATGTTGGGTTGTTCCAACACACATGGCAAAAAATGAAATAATGAAACTAACAGGGGTTCTAACCCTCCATTACTCTATCCAAAATGAAAAAAAAGGGTTTCCTATAGTTCTACTTTAAGGCAAATAGACAATTTGCAAGTTGCTTCAGAGCTTAGTACATAAGGTAAAGCTTTACTGTACAAAGAATACCCAATCACATGCAAGGAAAAAAACAGCATTTGTGCTTGAACATGATTGGATGCTGGAAGACAGTAGAGCTCCACCTCATTTACTAAACTTTGGAGCAACTTCACTTGCAAAGTGCTCACTCTACAGTATGTGCCTTTAGCAAATCAATCACATTACATTTAATAAATATACCCAATTACATGTAGTAAAATATAATTATTTTCTCTTGTAATTTTGCCAGATTTGTAGGGACTTTTTTGTGAATATACAAATACATACATAGTTTTCTGCACCTCCCTATCACTCCAAACATAATCCAATATACATGCATATCACAACAGTCTAATCCCTTCTTAGAACATATATGTCCTATGTAGTGGGGATACTTTATTTTTTCACAATCATTTGTTACAGATATCTTCCCACTGACATCATTGATTTTTTTAGCTATCTGTAAGGGGGTAATTCTTCCCAGTGAACATCACACTAATGTATCATGAGTTGTAAATATAGCCATTTATAGCAGGGGGTTCCTGAGACTGGAAAGTTATTCAAGGTTCCCCTGTGCTGAAAAGGCCAAGAAAGGCTGCTTGAAAGTTATTAATTTTACCTTTCATATCAGGGTGTGTTAAGCTGAAAGTGATCACAAACATCTTTATTACTTAAACTCTTGGCGCTGGCCGCATGCGGCCTCCCAGCGTCTGGGCCTGGACGCCGAGCAGTTGCACTTTTGCGTGCAATTAAGAAAAACATATGTGCTGAAAGCACATGCCCTGTGCGCTCCCAGCACACATGTCCAGTACTCGGGGAATGGTCCCGATCTCCTTTTTCGATCGGGACTTTTCCTGATCATGTGATCACCATGACGGCGAATCACGGCGGTCACATGACCCTCCCGGCTTCTGAAAACCCTTGAAGGGCCAGGAGGCTCCGGCTCCAAGGGGTTAAAGTATAGTTACAGCTATGCAGAGCAGAACAAGGGGTCATATTTGGGACCATGTTTTACACTGTAACAAGTAAATGATTGCAATAATGTTTGCATGTGTACACTGTACATGGACCCTATTTGCTGCTGCTGCTCAGAGCCAGCATGTACAGTATATATCTACACTGCATAGCCAGTGGTGGTGCTGCTGCCAATTACCCACTATTGATGTTTATACATTGGCCCTGGCTGAGTCATTCATGTGGTGGTGGAATGACCTTGGCCCATCAATCAGTTAGAATTGCCTGAGGTCTTTCTGTGCCATCACTGCTAAATAACCCATTCAGTGCCCACATGTAAACAACAATAGTATGTAATCAACAATGGTGGCTCAGCTGGCTACATATTTTCATTATTTACTTGTTGACCCTGAGTCAGTCCATTTATGCTGTGTGTATGTAATAGACATGTGCACACCAGAAATGTTCGCTTCATTTCATTTTGGATGCATTCGTTCATTGAAGAATTTTGTTTTGTCATATTCATTATGTTGAACCAATTCGTTTTCAAAATTAGTTTATGTTATTCGTTTCATATTTTTGATGGTGTGGCTGGATTAAAAAAAAGTTAGTAGTTGTTCCAGAATATTGCTATGTATTTCATATATTATCAAATTGGATGGATCAAATCGGAGGGATTCATTATTTTCAGATGCTAATCCAACCCACGAAGAGAAATGGCATGAGTTGCTTGAACAATATCGACTAGCATCATGTGCTTTCAAATTGGCAAATGGAATGAAATTTGGATCCATCCGTTATCCGAATCCGAATTACCGAACAAAGTCAAAAATTTTATTAAATTCCCCATGAGCCCAAACTACTATCTCATTATGTGATGTCATCCTGATAAAATGAATGAAATAAATGCATTTGTTAATTTCATTATAACTATTTTTTCGGATTTGTTGACATTTATTACTATGTCCATTCGTAGATTTGTATACATAAATATCTCCGAAAACGAAATTTTGGTCCAAAAGAAAATCGTAATGAAATTAAACGAACATGTCTAGTATGTAAATGCCAGCACAAACATTACATATGTACAGCATATGCGCACTGTTTTACACAGGATCTCACTGCCAGCAGGATCCTGAATAAATCAATACAACCATGTGACTGATGCCCAATTGTCAAGACCTCCGTGCATACTTTCATTGTATAGAGAACTTTTTATCAGGTAGACATCTATGTGTAAAGTGTTGTTCAGTCACCTTGTACACCTCCAATACAAAAGTCAAGGGCTATGGAAAACAATAGTCGGATGATGTCAGTGACTGACGAGTATAGTGAGTTATGTCAAAGCGCTCCACTGAGTGATACATACACCTCTGACAATGATAATAACCATCAGCAATCTCCAGACAGTGTTTCTTTTTTTGCCTACACAAACTCCTGGGAGTCAAGAATGAGTGCTCAGTTTATGTCAATGGAATGTTGATGGATGTTTTCCCTCTTCACAGGCTAGGTTACCTCTTAAATGGATGGCACCTGAAGCTATTTTTGATAAAATCTACACAACACAGAGTGATGTGTGGTCTTTTGGCGTGCTGCTCTGGGAGATTTTTTCATTAGGTAAGTTACAGAAATAAACGTAACCTGATTTGAATTTTGAATGAGTAATTTGATCTATTAAAAAGCTTAGTGGTAAAAGCCATTGTCCATGTGACCTGATGACATAAAGACTGTAATCCAGTATTGTGTTGATAGATTTCCATTGCACATTCCCAGTGACACAAATACAGAGAACCACAGCTGGGCCTATATCAATTTAAAAGAGCAATAAATATATAAGCTGCAGTAACTATTACAACTGACTATTCATGTACCTGAGTATAGTAAATTCAACGGGTGTTCAAGTCAAACCGGGATTTTTGAGTTTATATAATAAAAGAACAACTTTCAAAGAGTGGAAACTATTTATTTTCAAATACTCCCCTGCTTTCTTCATACACTTATCGCAGCGTTTAACTAATGTCTGGAAAGCTTCGGCATCAAAAGATTTGTCAGTGCGTCTGAACCATCCTAGGACAGCCTGCTTCACTTCGTCATCATTGTATTCACTGTTCCTACAGAAAGATTTGTCTCTTGTGCAATTTCTTGTGCATCGATTCATCATCAGGCGTTTCACATGCTGAATGTTCACAGGAATGACTGCTATGGGTTGGGAGCCACCACGGCCGGGATCATCACTGACTGACGCACAGCTATCTTTGAAACATTTACACCATTCAAATGTCTTACTGCAGCTGAGCGTCTCATCATCGTACTGTGCTTGAAGTCTTCTGTAGATATCTGCAGGTTTTGTTCACAAATAACTTCATTACCACACGCTGTTCCATGCATGCACTAATGCTGTTGTCTGCCATTTTCAGTAATGGTCTCTGGACTGGACCACGACACGTGTGCCGCCTATCAGTAATAGGTCACACTTGCCATTTACTACTGTGCGTATTACCGCCATGCTAGCATCCCATTTTATAGCTGTAGAATTAAAAGTCCTGGTTTGACTTGAACGCCCCTTGAATATATGGATTTATTGATATAAATTACACCATCACTAATGTCTGCATTATATAGTTTAAACTGTATGTTCAGACAAATGGTTTTCTTAGTTTTAGAGTGAAGAAGGGTTATAAACCTTGTCAAGTTTTTACTGTTGTCCAGGCCTCCTTTAGATTTATCCTCCCTTCCTGTCCTGCTGCGTTGAACCATGTAAGATATGATGGTGACTCCCCAAAGTAACATAGACAGAAATGGAGGAGATTTTCTTTAGTAAAGTAGGTAAAGGCTAAAATCCCTTCAGATTTGTATTTCCTCTGTAGCCCTATTGCAGATTTTCACTTCCTGTCTGATGAAACCATTGTCCAGAAAACAGAAAGTAAAGGTATTTCTCTCTAACGGTGTCCTATATTAAAAAAAACTGATTGGAGATCTAATCCTTCCCACATCTATCCAAAACTAAAAAATACTATTTTTGGCTAGACATACACTTTAACATCTTGGCGCTGTTGTCACGCAAATATGCAGCCTCACAGAACTGGGCTTCTTTCTGTGGGACCGCATATTTGTGTATCCTTCTTTGTACTGGGAGCGCACCACACAGCACGCTCCCAACACAAAGACTGAGAGCCTTGTGTCTCATACTAATGATCGGGACCCGGAACTTCCAATTACGGGTCACCTGATCATTGTGATAGCCTCTGATTAGCTATCACAGTGATCAGTCAGCCCGCCCCTGTGTTTTCTTTCTCTCTGAATGGAGGAGAGAGATACATTGTATCCTTGCAGAGACAAAAGCTGTGTGTAAAAAAAAAAAAAAAGATAAATAAACATTAAGAAATAAATGAAAAAATAAAGAAAAAAATACCTAGATCAAGGTTTGATCTAGGTCAGTGCCAGGATTTGTGTTTGTGTTTGTGAGCGAATCGAAGTATCCGAAGTGGAATTCGAGTCGAATATCGGAAAAATTTAGATTCGTGCCGAATCCGAAAAACAGCCTAATTCGGACGCGCGAATCGAAATTTTTCCGAAAATGGCGGCTGACATGTGCGGCGACGGAGCGGGGATGTCGGGGAAGGCGCGCAGACAAGGCGCGCTGCCCCATAATGCATTCCTCAACGACATGTGATCGCATCAGCCAATCAGCAGCCAGCCAGCCAGCACTGTGTAATGGTCGAGGTATATATAGCGGCCATTTTGGAAATCTTCATTTGCCTGCAGTCATTGAACAGAGGCAGACCGCTCTGTACTAGGGACAGGGACAGAGTTAGGGCCACAGAAACGAGAATTGGGGACAGAGAGAAGTTACTTAGGGACAGAGAACCATTACTCAGGGACACAGACTTGTTAATGAGGGCCACAGAATCGTTATTTAGGGACAAAGAAACGCTAGTTAGGGCCACAGAATTCATACTCAGGGACAGACAGAATTGTTACTCAGTGCCAGAGAATTGTTACTTAGGGCCACAGAAACGTTATTAGGGCCACAGAATTTTTACTCAGGGACAGACAGAATTGTTACTGAGTGCCAGAGAATTGTTACTCAGGGACAGACAGAATTGTTACTGAGTGCCAGAGAATTCTTACTCAGGGCCACAGAATTCATTCGGGACAGACAGAATTGTTACTGAGTGCCAGAGAATTGTTACTCGCACAG